TAGATAGATAGATAGATAGATAGATAGATTAAAAGGCAAATATATATATATATATATAAATATTATATAAATAAAATTTCGAAACTAGACTTCTCCATGCTTAAATTATTACAATGGCTTACCACCGGCTGGTTCTGAAGTTAGTTGTTCAATTGCTAATGGTACAGTGGTCAGTGCTTCAGTGGTTGGTGCTTCAGTGGTTGGTGCTTCAGTGGTCGGTGCTTCAGTGGTTGGTGCTATGTATTATGTCAATAGACAATAGACTTTATTATTTTTCTCGAAACAATACAACGGACCCCTTTAATAATATTAGCAATAATAATTTTGCACATCCATTCATTTTCTAATCATCTCTGTAGCACACTTGCAGTACTAATCAACACCCTCAGTCCCACCATTAAAAAAGTCACATAATATTAACAATAATAATTTTATTATTATTATTATTATTATTATATATATATATATATACATTGTTTCATTTCAAACAATGTATATATATATATATATATATACATACATTGTTTGAAATCGAAATATATATGTATATATATAATATAAATCATCAATATCATATATATGTATGTATATATAAATGTATACATATATAAAAGAAGAAATGTATACAATTATAAAACACGATAATAATAATAATTGATAGTTAATAGTATTTTGATCAACAATAGTTAATATGTATAAATTACCTCCGTTCTGGTAGTCTGTCGTCGACGACGACGACGACGACCTCGATGACGACGGCGATGCAACAAAGGCATAAATCCACAATGTAATCTTTAGCATTAAGTACTAAAAAAGGGCAATCAATAGATAATGGACAGAAAAAGCTATGATTTGATTTGTGTTGTAAAGCATGCTCCGTAGCAGGGGTGGCGCCAGCGGGAGGGGTGGGGGCCGGGGGAAGAGCCCCCGTCGGGATGAGCTTCCCCCTCCCTGGGGGAGAAAAAAGCACAATTCGTCGGGGAGAAAAAACATTATATGTATTTCCTTCATATTAGTAGACTCTTTGAAACCCCTAAGTTGTTAAAATTTTCGGAGGCTTCGCCCCTGGACCACTTTCGAAACCTTTTAATCGAAGCTCGACCACGCCCACATTGCTTTCGTCGGAGAAATCTGACCCCCCGGGACCTCCCCGCCTCCGCCTGGCAAATCCTGGCACCACCCTTGCTTGGTAGACAACATACAAATATACAAACGACATAAAACAATCAAATTTCAAAATTCTAAAGAAGAATCGTTTGTTCAAGAATTACTTGAGAATAAGGTACTTAATAAATTAAATTTTACTGGAAACAATAGTATAGAACCTGTATGGATTTAAATTCTTTCCTAGATATAATAATTAAAAGACATGCTTTCTATAGAATAATGAGAGTTAAAAACAGATTATCACCTTGAATAACACCTGAAATTATTCAGCTGATGTACAAATGAAAGAAACTATCAGATAAATACAAAACAAAGGTGTATTTACAGATTGAGATAAAACGTACTAGTAAATTAGAATATCAAAGATCAAAGAAAATTGAAAAGCACTTCTAGATTTATCTGACAGTAGTAACAATGATCTTGATTTTGATAGCAAACCGTTCAAAATGTCATCAGCATATGTATCCGATTCACTATGTAAGATATATATGTCGTTAATGAATAAAGAGATTCCAGATGATTGTAAGATAGCAAAATTTAAGTAATTTAATTGTACATAAATTGCATGTATTATTGTGATTAGTTTAGTAAATTCAATCTCAAGGTTAATTTTAATTTGATAAATTCGATTATTGGACTTGCTTGCATGTAGTACTATTCAATTGTGATATGGTAAATTTTTGTTGGTGTTTAACTCATTTATTTTGGGGCAGCACCGTCTTCCAATGATGCTTCCCATATTTACGTCATTCTTATTAAAATTACAGTTACCATACAGTATATTGTCTCAAAGTTTTTGTAAGCCTGTTGTCACAAAATGTTTTGATACCGTCGATCACGCACTATTGTTGGAAAAATTAAACAACTATGGAGTAAAAAACGGTGAAATTAAAAGGTTTAAAATCTACCTCAGTAAAAAGAAAGCACGTAATTATATATGGAAATAAAATATCAAGAAAAATGGATATTGAAATTGTAATACACCAAGGCAGTGCTCTGGTCCTGTCCTGTTCTTAATATTCATTAACGACATATCACGATCTGTATAGCAAATGGTTCATGTTGTAGATATATGCAGACGATGTTACACTTCAGAAAAAAACTATTCCTGAAATAAATGAAAACCTTCAACATATAGGCCTAATGAATAATATAATAGATTGGCATACAAAAACCAAAATTAAAAATTAAAATCGAAAAAACTAAAAGTATGCTTATAAAAAACATCTAGATTAGCCTATTCTAAAAACAATAAATAATGGTAGAGAAATAAAGATACAACAAATTATAAAGTGATGCATACGATCTTACATGATATATAGGCCTACTTACCATCTTACTTCATATTAACATCTTACAGGACATACACTTACCATCTTACATGATAGTCTGTAATAAAGAAAACTAAGCACAATAATGCATACTAAAGATCTGTAACATTATTGTCTTGGTGTTATCCAACCTCCGGTAATATGAATTCTGGCAAAGGAGTGCTTATCGAACGAACTGATGTTTCAACATTATATTAATCTATAATTCATTGATATTTCTGCTACAATTCACTTTAAATTAAAACAATATTCATAATTTATTGATTAACAGATAGTTAAATTGTTTTGATCAACGCAGCACAACATTTTTATTTTAATATATTAGTAATTCAATTTTTATTCCGGCATGCAAACCTTAACATTTTCAAATTTTAAAATTATTAAGAATTCCTCAATCAATATTTAAAAATCGTATTATTATTATTATTATTATTATTATTATTATTATTATTATTATTATTATTATTATTATTATTATTAATATTATTAATATTATTATTATTACTTATTATTGTTATTACCTATTTGTCATTGTAACCCGGCAGAGCCGATGTTGGCTTTAGTTAGTGGGGCCCATAATTTCCATTTGTGCTTCCATTATAGGCCTAATTACATGAAAATTAAACATTATAGGCCTACTTATTATTCAATAAAATACGGCATGACGTCTGTCTTCCATTTCGAATGTTTAATACGTAACTTACGCTCATAATCGACATAACCTGATGGCAATAACTTGATGACAATTCGCAACGGTTTTTTCAGAGCCAAATGCCACCAATGGAGATTTGTAGCATATATGCCACTGGTGTACTGAACATTAATAATAAATTTTATTCAGCTTTAGGCACTAGGGCCCATCATATACCAAACAGCTAACTTAATCACTCTTTAAAGTAGCAATCCCGTCTCAAGACAAACATAGACACAAGATACATATTCTAATTATGAGGCTAGGTAGTGGAGTTGTTTTGATCGTGAGAAAAAGTCCTGTTACCGTAACAGGAATTGAACCTAGGACCCTGGTATTGGAAAGCAATAATCCTAACCACCAATCTATCCAACTCCACTCAAGCCCGATATTCAACTTTAATTATTAATATCAATTCACCATGCAAACCTCCAAGACTTATTTTGATGAGAATCGATACCGTATTAGTTTCAATGTCCTTGTGTAATACGATAGTTCATGGTTCATATAATGTAGGCCAAGTTCAAGGTGAAACATTATTCATCTAAAAATAGATACAAAAATCGTTTGACTAGTCTGGGCTCTGCCTAAGCTGGTCGAACGTTCCGTTTGTGTCTGTACCCTAGCTGCACTAATGAGGCCTGGAAGGCCAAAACGGATCCGTCTGCAGATATTGGGATTTCTTTCCAGTGGATGCTTAGTTTATTTTGTCATTCTGATCGGATTATCTCTTTTCCGTTTTATATATATTAAATATAGATATTATTGTTTTCGGCGACAGTAATTACCTTCAAATTCATGGCACAGCGATGGGCACTAAATTGGCTCCATCTTTTGCTAACTTATTTATGGGACAATTTGAGGCCAATTTCCTGTCCCTACAACCCAAGAAACCAGATGTTTGGTTTCGTTACATTGATGATATCTTCATGATCTGGACCCATGGTGAAGATAGTTTGGATACGTTCCTATTGAACATTAATTCGGCTCATCCCACAATCCAATTCACTGCTAACAAATCCACAAGCAGTGTAGATTTTCTGGACATCACCGTGACCATGGAAAATGGTGCACTCAAAACTGATCTTTTCCGAAAACCCACGGATAAGCATATGTACCTGCTCCCTAGCAGCTGTCATCCCCCGCACTGTACAAAAAACATTCCGTACAGCCAAGCATTGCGCATGAGACGCATTTGTTCTTCGGATTTAGATTTTCAGAAAATTATCATCGAGGACCCATCAAA